AAATCACCATCTATCACAGCAATGGATAGGACAAAGTTTCAATACTCCTTATATATCCTCAACATTATATATCACACTTCTTTACACATAGTTAAGAGTTAGCAGTTGTTTGCTTATAGTGGGGTATCAAATACAAAGACAATAAATCTGGGTTAAGCTGGCGGGCCAGGTGCACCTTCAGAAGCACCCAGTTACTAAATACCATTGCAAGAAGGCCAATGGATAGACAAAGCAAAGAAGGTACCCAAGAAGTTTAATGAAAGTAAAAGATCTAACAGTTCATTCATGCCGTTCATAAGGCAATAGCACAAATTCTGTGATTTTTATGCCTTGATGCTCTCTATTACATGTTCCAACCTTGTGAGGGAGACAAACGACATAATCAGTATGTTTTAGAACCTTTTAAAGTCAAATATATTGTGCCTTAGAGGCCTAATGTTACAATCAACAAGACCGTTTTCTCCAACAGAAATATGAAAGCCAAAGGCTGAAGAAAGCTGAGTTGCAATAGATAAGCATCAAGTAGGCTCTCATAATATCATCCTGAAAAGAATGCATTGATATTGCAGTGAATATATACTACCTAAAAAAACAAGTGAAATATTTATAAAATGTTATTTAGTTTTATTTTTTGTTATTTATATGAACATATTCAATTCAGTTTCAAAGGTCAACTTTTTTTATGTGTTCCTGAAATCTTAGATGGATGGAGTTTTCCCCACATTCATGCAATCTATGCATTATGAATACACCATGTGTGGATTTCAATAATGTTTTATAACACAAAATTAACTTTTAAGTGCATTTCTATCAGCTTTTTGAAGTATATTTATACCAGGTGGTATTTTATGATAAAAAAAAACCCTATCTAGTGTAACAGAAAAAAGAGAAATCGATGCAAATTTTCTCTGGGGTTTCAGGAATTTCTTGTGGCAGGTTGGAACCCAGAAGTGAATGTTCCCACATCAGCAATCTGCTAAGTGTTCTCTGGCTCTGCTCCCATGTGTCTCCACATGCTGGTTTGAGCCAGACACGTGTTCAGCTCTGACACTCAAACTTCAAGCAGACACGGCTGGATTCTGGTACCCAAGCACCAATAAAAGACCCCTTCCTCATTCTGTAAAAATCTCAAAATGTCCTGGGAATGAATTCCAAAGTGACTCAACTGGTCTTATTCCCACACACCTGTGGGATCACCTACCTATAAAGGGAATGTTGCAAACCTTTGTGAAATTGGCATCTACAATTTAAGGAAAAATACTGACTAACTTATCCAATAAGCAAATACCTATTGTATTTCAGGTACAATTGTATGTACTGACCACGCAAACAGCAACTAAGATAGTAAACAGGGCACCTGCTTAACTCATTCTCATGAATCATGCAAGAGAGAGCAGTCTCTGTCTCTCTGTCTCTCTCTCTCTCTCACACACACACACACACATACACGCACACACAGGTGAACAAAATGCCTTACTACTTAGAGATGATGGTAGTGATGAAAAGTCTATTTAAATACAAAACTGTAAATTACTAAATACAAAATGAAATAGAAATTATTTTTAGGGAAAAACGTAACAAAAATCTTTATCAATGATGCTTACAAGAATTATACATTTGAAACATCAATGGGACTTTTAAGTATGTAAATATATCTAAGGGTAAAATAATCCATATAATAGTTTATAATACATTTATTACATATGCATCCAAAACTTTAGTAAACGATGGTGTTATATAAAATAATTATATTTTCTAAGATTTTTAGATTTTATTTTCATTTTTATTGGAAAGACAGATATATGGAGAGGAGAGACAGAGAGGAAGGTCCCCTGTCCACTGATTCACTCCCCAAGCGACCGCAATGGCCATAGCTGAGCCAATGCGAAGCCAGGAGCCCGAGCCTCCTCTGGCTCTCCCACACAGGTACAGGGTACCAAGGCTTTGCGACATCCTCAACTGCCCTCCCAGGCCACAAACAGGGAGCTGGATGGGAAACAGAGCCATTGGGATTAGAACCCCCACACATATGGGATCTCGATGCATGCAAAGTGTGGACCTTAGCCACTAGGCTACCACGCCGGACCCAATAACTGTATTTTCTTTACATGAATTCTGTTATGTCAATACCAGATAGATTGCATCTAGTAATCTAGGGAAGCTATAAGAGCACAAATGAATGGTATCATGACGTTCAGAAGCAGTGAAATGTCCTAGTAAATGGATCACTCTGGGAATATTCTAAGATATTATGTGAAATACAAATCATCTAAGACAGTAATATTATAATTTCGGCCATTAGTCTCTGCTTTCAGGGCTTAGAAAGCATCTCTTCCATTAGCCTCACCAAGCAACACCTCTGAGACTCCAGAGTGTTCTGTCACTGGCACTTTCTGACGTCATTCTTTTCAATTTCTCTTGATCATTTTACACAATCCAAAAATACTAACATGTTACTTGGATATTCTCAACTCCTAAATATCTATTAATAGTATTAGGTTCTTCATTATATTTTAACAATGTTTTATTGCATCCCCAAACTTTCTGTTTAAATTCACTGCATCTTGCACATTCAGAAAAACATGTATTTGCCTGGATACACCTGGATGTTAAGCCACTGTGTAGGTAATATATTTCTAGTATTTGCAAATTAGGGCCTTCTTGTTGGAATGCCCCCATGACATGTCTTCTTCCAAGGTATTTCTTATAAGTATCTATCATTTTCTCCTGAGGAAAATAAAACACTTCTTTTGAGGAAACCCTCCCTGGATCCCCAAGAAATATCCATTCCTTTCTTTGCAAAGTATGCATACCTATTATTAATATAAAGCTATAGTTTGATGTTGATTCGAGGTTCTCCCTTATATTTTATCAATTATAATGCAAACATTACCTTTATATTACATGTATGTGTATATATACATGCATATACATATATGTATAGAACCATCCAAACACTGTAAAAAATACTGCTGAAGGCAAGAATTATAAATTTCTCATTAATGTATGAGTTGGGCCATTTGTTGACAGAATTAAATATGTTATGATTGGGAATGAATATTTTCTAAAGGACAAAATGTGTATGAAACACAATGTTGTCAGTAAGAAAGATAAACCCTATTAAAATTATCTCTACGCACACACACACACACATATATAAACAGTAATATACATACAGAGATGTATGCACCAACATGAGTTAGAACCATTACATACGAACTAACAGCTATTTTAAAAGAATATTTTATATTTAAGGTCGACACCTTGAATTACTGTTACCTTTTCCAAATGTGTTTAATATTACAGCCTAGTTTTTAGGTCAAAATGGTCCCATAATGTGGAATATCCAATGATATAAACTATGTGTTCAGATGCATATATGCTACTTACACACTTCTAAAGTTAATAATTGATTAAACTCTACTTATCATTTCTATTTTGTAACTTCAGTTATATTTTAAGACTTTCAAAGTTTTAAAGTTATAGCAAATCATTTTCATGTTATGCAATGTGCAGACTGTCATTCATGAAGTTTATGACTATTCCATGACCAATGAATTGCAGTTCCATTATAGTAAAAGGAAATATGAGAAAATCAAAGCTTTCTGGACTGTGTTTTCCATTTTTTGAGTATTGTCATGATGTCTTAGAATATTTAAACTGTTTTATTTCCACACAGACTCAATTTCTATTAGTGTTTCTTTTTCCAAACTACCACCTTATTTTCTTGGCCTATACCCATTGTTAGTCATTATTTTCTTACACATATTTTCCGAAGATTCACTCAAAATGCATTAGGTTTTATTAAAGCATTCCCATTTTTAGATTCAGATAACTTTTACTATATATCTTTTTTAAACAAATACATCACTAAACATCATAATTATTAATAAGTTTCGACACATATTTGCAGAAACAGAGCTCTTACAATGAAAAATACCATTAATAAGTATGCATGAGTCATTTTTTAAAAAAGAATAAAAGTCGCACAATGATTTTTATATATGGAGATACTCATACTAAAAGTATTAATTATGTTCAGTTTTAAATATACATTAGTACTACATAAATAGCTATGGAATTAATGAGGCTATCACAATTCTCCAAATAATTTATAAACTACTAAGCAGTTTATCATATTAATATTTGGAACATACACATTTTGATTTATAATAGGGAAAGTTCCTGAGAAGTATGTAAATTTTATGGGAAAAATCAAGTATATTTTAAGATGCAATTATTTTATCTTAACAATTCTTTTATTAAAAAGTATGTTCTGAGTTGGGCAAGTCTGCATCTTTATCTGAAAGTACCTGTGAAGTCCAGATTTTCCTACACCTACTCCACTGAAGCGAAATTTAAACAATACTCTTAAGAGTTAACCCTGGAATCTTGAGTAGTCAGAAAAAGGAAAGAGAGCTAACTCCTCCACAAGGACTGGGTATGTCCAGATGACTTCATATATAAATATATTTCTTTATGTTTCTATGCATGCATACATTACTACATGCTCATGTAAGCACGTGTGATTTCCTTTGAATCTACTTTCCGTGATATACTGGTTTTCTGAAACAGAATTATAAACATCATGATTATCAACATCATTTTGGATACAGATCTAGTCTGTTTATGGTAACAAGCCATAGCCTGGAAAGCCCACAGAGGCAGAGCAGGAGATGACTGGCTAAGGGCACCGATTCTGCTTTGATTGGTCCCCTGGCTCTTCCAGTCCCCAGACTGTCAGAGAAAGACAGACTTGTGAGAAGTTATGTGCACACCCCGACAGCTGCTTTTATCAATCTTAGGCAATTGCTCTAAATTGAGGGTGTCAGTCATTCTAAGAGAGTTGCTCTTGTGGCTTTCCTTATCTGCTGCCTTCAGTCATGCGCCCTGCCAGGCACCAGGGCACAGTTACTGGTAGAAACAAGCGGGTCTCTGTCTACACATCATGACACCATCATCTGCTCACAAAGAAATACAGGAAAGAGAGGCAGCCTTACCCTTAGGAAGGTCAGGTCCCGGTTATGCTCAATGCTGGTAATCTCCAGGTTGCCCATCACTACCTCACAGTTCTCATAGTATTTGCGTAAGGCTCGGTACTGCTGTTCCAAGTCTGAGAGAGAGCTCAGTTTATTTTCCGTTCCTGCACACACTGCAAAGACAAGAAGATAACATTAAGCCACAAGCAAAATAAGAATACTCCTCTCAAGACTGATTATCTCACACATCTAACCCAATTAAGTTTTTTCAAATACCTTAAGAATCATAGGCCCACAGACTAATAAATACATATATGTTTCTAAATTGCACAGGCTTATTACAGAGGGTGAAAAGGCATGGATTCCACAAAAACACATAGCAGGGAGAGAAACTCAGTGTCATTTGCTTTAATCATAGCATATGAATACATTTAATTTCGTTTTTAAGTGGAGTTGAAACTATTTCTTACAGAATTATTCTATAAATGTAAATATAACAAAACATAAACACATCAAAATAAAGTGTAAATCTATCAAAATTGAGGTGGTGAAGGGCATTCCATTTGTTTAAGTTTTTCTAATTGAGCAAATTTTCAACATAATTACAATAGCTTACTTTACAATAAACAAGAAATAAAATGTGAAAACTAAAATTGCTTTATCAGTCAAGATGTCCTCCAAAGAACTAGCTAAAAGAAAAAAAAAACTGCTAAGATTGAATTATTTATATACATATAATCCTGAGTAATGCAGCAGATTACAACTTATGTTGATATCAACTGGACCATCACTGTGAATGTTCATGAGTGTTCTGAGGAATGATAGATTGATAATCAATTATCATAGTCTTCCATACTTTATGAGAGCTCATGAATATGTTCTTCTATGAGCCAATGATGGTACACATATATTTTTGTGATTTTAGGTATTTGTCTTTCACAAATCAGATGTTTATGTATTACTTTTCATGTTTTTATACGGCCTTACATAATACATAATATACCAAATCTATTCTGCAGCATACTACACGATTATATTAGGAATCCTACAACAAAAGAATGCAAAGTTAAAAGTACAGATTGTAAACTACTCTTAATTGAGTAGATCAAACAATACACACTGAATTTAAGGGAAGATAAAAGTATAAGTTTCAAAGATATGAGGAATAGAGCCCAGTAATAAAATATGTACCAGAAACAACAATTGCAAAGAAGTCAATGATGCCTAGCATGTATTCAAAAGAATTAGCTTGTTTAGAAAAAAAGAAAACACTTTTTACAAAGGTACACAAAAAACCAGTTACCTACTTATCAATACACCAGAATAAAAACAAAATTCTTAACTTAAAAGCATTAAAGGATAACACGGTTCTCTGATCACAGCAGATGCCTTATAGGAACAAAAACAAAATAAAAGTTTGTATAATGTGTCCTTAAAGGTCATCCAACAGTATATTTTCTACAAATTCCCTATTATGAATCGAAGGATGCCCCTCTGTGAGATGTTAGGTCCTAACTCAGACTACCTGAGAATGTGACTTTTCTTGGAAACACAGTCTTTGCAGATGGAATCAAATTAAGATGAGGTCAGGTTTAGAACCACGTCCTAATAAGAAGAGGCAAATATCACATGAACACAAAGATACCCAAAAGGGAGGCCTGGGGATCCAAGGGCAGAGTGGGGACACACAGGTGAAAGTCGAGGAGTAGCGTGGATTGACAGCCACCCCAGACACCAAGGAAAGCAAGCAATGAGTCACAGTAGGTTCAGAGGGAATGAAGCCCACACACACCTTGATTAGGGATGACAGCTCTCAGGGTTGTCAGGAGCTAGTGGTATTGTGGTCTTTTATTTGTGTTTTAGCCTTTGCTAATACATCTACCACAACAAGTCTTAGGCATTGGTGTCATAAAATTGCACATGAAATTTCAGAAAATCCTTTACTATTGGTATATTTTTATGTGGGAGTGCCACTGTTAATTTATGAAACCACTTATAAAAATCTAGAGAGTATCTAGTAAAACTTCTCATAAAATTCACGCATAATACTAGCGTATTTGAAATGTCTTATTTGGTAGGTGAATTAAACTGACATGAAATGATTTTATAAAAACATACTAAATATTTCAAGTTACTGATAACAGAAACCATACTGGCTATAAATAGTCCTTTACAAGTCATTGTAAAACACATTAATTGCTTTCAGCACACTCAAGGGAAGTGGAAACCAGTATCGCTTAAAATGGAATTCATAAAATATCACATTTTCAGGAATACATTCCACAACCTCTGGGGTATTTATTTCAAAGAATAATGCTCCAGCTGTAGCTCACAGATCCACAATGGTAATCCCTGGGACATCATACGCACCCCTTGCTGAATTATCTGCTGAAAATGCTCCCCAGGCTATACTATGGAACTAACCTTTTTAAAAAGTCCTACATACGGGGTTTGCCACAACCTGAAAATAATTCAGAATTTCAGACAAGCTCATGGCATAGAGAAAAGAATTTGTAAAGTTAAGTAAAAGTCAAATCATATTTAACTGGGCAAAGAGTGGTATAGATGAGTTTTTCATCATTTTAAAATTTGGGGATATAAATCTTTTCCTATCATTTTCAAAAGAGGCACACTTTTATATTGAAAACTGATGGACCCTGCACCCATGTGGGAGACCCGGAAGAGACTAGTGGCCCCTGGCTTCGAATTGGTTCAGCTCCAGCCATTGCGTCCACTTGGGGAGTGAATCAATGGATTGAACATCTCCTCCTTTCTATATATCTGACTTTCTAATAAAAATGAATAAATATTTAATAAGAAAGAGAAATAAATAAATTGATTCACATAAATATTGTTTATCAGTCACGAAAAACTACAGGATCTACGGGTTTTTCATTATACATTAGAAGATTTTTTTGGAAAAACCTTTATTACCTAGGCTTTATTGCTTGTGAATTTTTTTTTTCCATTTTTGATATAAAGAGAACACATCTGGTAGTTTCTATGACTGCAGTACCAAGAAGGCAACCATGCGGGCTTTGCTGTTCTGCTTCCTGCCCAAACACCTCCCTTACCTTCCTTTACTTCATTTGTTTCTGAAGACATGATTTCAACAACTCCATATGATATCTGTGTTTTTGAGACGAACTTCTTTTACCAAGCTCAATGCTTTTCAGTCACATCCAACGAGTAACAAAAGGAGACTTCCTGGAATGGCTGAGTAGCATTCAACAGTGTATCTGTGTCACCTCCTCTAGATCAGGTATCTGATACTGTGAAAATATACTGTTATATTGATTTATAAAATGCCCATTCTAGTTAGTTTAAATTCCAGTGAAGACAAACATTTTCATAAAACTACATATGACACCAATCATATGCTATCCATCTATATTAAATACACCATACCACCAGTGAAACATACCCATTGCCATCTTGTGACTTAGGGGATAAAAGCTTCATGCAGTAGGAAGAAATCCTATACTATAATGCTAGACTGCAAAACTCAGTATGTAATCATAAAAAAGAAGAGATTTCAAAGTATTTATTGGTTTCTGATCTTTACTATAGACGTTCAAATAACTTGGGGAGAGATGTACACCCTTACACTGGCAATATGGGGCATCTCTGCATTTTTATACAGTAGAAAAATGAAGTAACATGATCTGGAATTACTTTTTCTTATTTTATTTTACATTTTTATTAATATGTAATATTAATAATTTCCATGAGGTAAACTACACTATTTTAACACATACAGAACAAAATAATGAGACAAGGCGACCGATTTTCCAATTTCTTTATCTTTTCATATAGAATCATTTCAATGTGGATAGATTTCCATTCACAGCCAATTTTCAATATCAATAGTCATTCATACATTTTATAGTGTCTGGATATTTAGAAATATATTTAAACATCCCACAACAGATGCTAACATAACAAAAAGCTTCAAAGTGTTTGAAAATGGGTTTATAACTAATCATTTTGTATCTGTTGATTTATAAATAATACAGTTTTTTACTATTATCAAATTATCTTTGAATATTCACTTAATTAATATCAAAATAATTATTAGTGACATTCAGAAATTAAAATCCAATTCAAGATAATTTTCCATAGTTTAATAACTACCACCTGTGTTTTATGAAATGTAACATACTTTATAAGGTGTCAACACTGCATAAGTATTCTTAGGAATAGTATTTAACAAAACGATCCTCCAATAAACACATACCCTAAATTACCAGAACATTTTATTTACCAAATACTTTAATTTCTGGGGTTCTATGACACATTTTTGAATTTAATAAATACATGTTATGGCATTGAGGAATTCCTTTGTAGCTTTGATTCATATGATCTAGAATCAATACTATATTCACCAAAACTTTTATCATGTGAGACTTGATATTTTAAAGAATTGGTTTGGATAAATGCATGACAATGACCTGCAGCTCTGTGCATGAAACTTTAACTGAAGGCCTCACTACCTCCATTTGTCCATCGATTTTACAATCAAGCAATGCATACAAGACAATGCTCAAACCATCAAGCTTCATTGATTTCACAAAGCTATTCATCAAAGCAAAATGGAGAAATCTTTTTCACCAACCAAAACGTGTTTAACAAAATTCAAGCCCTTTGCCTTCAGGATTATAAAGTCATTCAACTATAAGCTTAAACTAGTTCAAGTTTCTAGAATCCTGAAACTACACGTGCTCCCTAGAGTTTTCATTGCTAATTTAACTAGAGGAGTAAAGCTCGACGCGGGTGCTTTAGTAAGATCACCAATTATTCTGTTTACTATTGATTCAATTACAAATATAGCTATGCTTGCCCACACACATTTTTTTTGAGCTCAGCTTTATATCCAAAGACAAGTAAATTACATAATCCTTATGCACTTAAAGTAACTCCTAAAGAATTCAAACATCAGAACTACTGAGATTAGCTGAAACATTTTATGAATAATCCCTGGGCCAAATAAAAAGGACATCTACTCCTTGCAAATACAGTTGCAGCAAGAAAAGACAAAGTCATCTGATACTGCAGATGATCAGAACATAAATCTACACACTGCCTCTTCTGCTTTGAGTGGATCTGTGTAAAACTGAATTCTTCTGTATTTTACCTATTTTGGTTACTTAAAATATTGTTAAATTATTTTTTA